ATGTATGAAACATATTTTTCCTAAGAAGTACATGACATAAGAAGATTAACAAACTTGGAATCATATTTTTCTGAAGCCTATATATTTTTCTACATATTTTTCAAGTTATCAGCAATATTCAAGATTAAATAAAAGCCTATAGGAAAGTATATCAAACATGACATGCAATAATTTTCCCAAGTAGATCTGGTAATAAGGAACCTAGAAAAATTTGTTTCAACAAATTTGGAGCAACTTTGATCATCCAAACATTTTTCAAACCATTCTTGATTTCAAATAACAAATAATAAATGAAAAACAATTAAGCTTAAGTGTTCTTGGGCCGCCCGAAGGACCCGACGGCCCACGGCCACTTTCGCCCTCTGTGACCCGAGCGAAAAGGATGAGCGCTGGCGGCGGCAGAAACTTGACCCACGGCCGCTTTACTGGCCTGGCTTACCGAGGCGAAGGCGCCATGTCGGGCGCGCCTGGCGTGCTGGCCTGCTTGTCGCTGCTCGCCAATGACCAACGGGCCGTCTCGACCCGCCACGGCAACGCCAGAGAGCGAGCGCAGGAGACGCGCGAGGAGAAAGCGAGCTTCGGCAAAAGGTCGCTATCACGAGGTGAGAGGGAAGGAAAAGGGCGCTTCACGGCGGCCGTGCATGGCGGTGCCATGGACGCCGTGGCGAGGCGCTGAGAGGTCCGACCTGCTTTCGGAAGGCGAGCAAGCTCGAGCACTACTTCGCCGAGGAAGGCGAGGCGGAGCTCGGGGCACGAGGAATTGGAGAAAGGTGCGGTGGTGCTTGAGTTGGACGACGGGCGAGCTCGAGCACCTGTGATGGCGGGGCTTTGAGCTCATGTCATGCGGAGGAGAAGGGAGGAAGTGCAGGCGCGAGTGAGCGGGTGCGACACACGGGCAGGTGAAGGCGGCGCGTGGCAGCAGTGCCAGCCACAGGCCTGCTGCAAGGGCAAGCGGCGACGCCAGAGCAGAGCTGCCACGCCAGGCGGCAAGCTCTGCCATGGCTGGATGCACAAGGCCTGGGGAGAGAAGGCAACATGTGAGAATCAGGCATGAGCCACCGGGCCGGGCCGAGGCAGCGGTGGTGAGCGGGCGGCAGGCGGCAGAGGCGGGCAGTAGGCACAGGTTGGTTGGTGCAGCAAGCGCGGCCAGGAAAAAGGAAATGAAGATTTTCAATTTATTTTCAAGAAATTTTTAAATGCCACCATTCAAACATTATTTTGAGCAAGAAAATGACCTCTTTTGAAAATGTACCAAAAATGAAAATTGCTTAGAATTAAATTCCCTACAATTTTGCTTTTATGACCAAAGTCCAATTCTATCTAGATTTTAAATTATAGAATAAAAGTTAAATTTTTAACTCAAAACCCTAATTTTGGGGAATTTATTTTTGAAGCCGAATTTTGAATTAATTTGAATACAAACATTGCCCCAAAAATTGAACTAAACAATTCTAGATGATTTTCAAGTATAACCAACAGTTCTATTCAGCTAGTAAGCAATAATCAGAGCAAAACAACTCTAATAAGTGTATGCATCATTTACGTTTCACAAACATGTTTCGTATGTTTCGAAGTAATGTTTCAGTTATTATATGCAAGATTATTCATGTATGATTAGGATGCTTGATGATGCATGATATGCATGATTTGCAGTGCCTAAATGTAGGCATAACACCGGGGTGTTACAGTTGGCGTGAAGCCGAAAAAAGTAATTGGTATTGATTGATTGGATGTCCTTTATAATAGCCGGGGTCAAATATTTATGTCCGGAACTTAAGCATGAATCCTACTCAAGTACGACTTGTTACAATCTTTGGTATAAGAGAAAAACATTCCTAACTTAAGATAACTTGGACCCTAATCTTTTCCTTTTTATAGAGTCCGACATTTTTCTAGACACCAACCGTAGCTCATTGACGTTATCCGCTGATGTCATCCGAAGAGAGCCGATCCCAATGACGCATCTGAATCAGCTGATATCGATCCTTATGCAATCGATATCTTGATGACTAAATCTTGGAAGTTTCGAGATCCCGCGTTCTTCTTCCCAAATTTTTGGTGTAAACAGTACTATTCCGCCCGGTCTCCAATTATCATTCATATATTCCATGTGACAGTAACAATAATATATTTCCTATCTCTCGCGAGTGACAGGTAATTACTCGACTTCTACCGGATCCTATAGCATAGCAATCCACACGATCCTCACATACTAGTAGAACTCATAGGATAAGGATATATATGCAAGTGGTTTTCATTCAACTCCTTAAAACTTAACGCACAAGTATAAGATAAAGTGTAGAATAATAGGGGTTATGCACCGAGGCTTGCCTGGGCAAGATGTAAACAAGGATTAGCATTCCATCATGGGGACACGATCATCAAGGCGCCATCTTTTCCGCTACTCTAGATGACTTCGCAATCCATCGGTGTTCCTATTATGATATACGTGGATGCAACGTAGAAAACATAATTAATCAACGGCAACCGTAACTCTTAAAATATGTTGACGCCTCTCAAGCTAACGAGCTAGCTCTAACGGCTAACACACCAGGCTACGTGTCCACGTGGTCGAGTAAGGTGTCGTTTCCCAAAAAATATTTTAGTTCTACGATCCTAAGATGTTTCAGCATTTTATTAATTATATATATATATATATATATATATATATATATATATATATAAACTATGGCTCATTTAGCTACCTTAGCAAATTAATTATTATGGAGCTACAAAATTACAGTGAACCTATAATAATACTAGGAACTTACTGTAAAATTTATAGAATTAACACTAGCACTTGATTGATCATAAAAATTCGTACAAGTTCATATTTTAATAATATTAAAGCATGTTAAAGTATTTAGAGCAACCTTGAAATATTTTAGAGTTATGTGAACCAAACAAACTAACAGATAGATTATGATTTTAGAAACCTAACAAGATTGATTTCACAATTTTTTTTGACTCCTAAATGATTTTATATTTAAATAACAAAATCACCTCAGAATTTATTTTAGAAAATCTTTACTAATTCACTAGAGAAAGAAAAGGGCACCGTAGCCCACTCTCCCCAGGCGGGAGTGCTGCACATGCATGCATCGCCGCCCAAAGAATGCCCAAGGTGGGGAGCCCACAAGACGCCGGTAATCTTGCAAAAAGGCCCCCGGATTCTAGAAGAACTACGCAACGCAACGTGTCCCTATTCCAACAGAGAGAGGATTTGCGCTCAGCACCCTGCAAAGACTCATCTTTGCAACAGGCATGCCCCTAGGCACGCGTGCGTGATGGCGCGGCGCACCGACGGCATACGGTGGTTACGCCGGCCAACGGCAGGGTTAGCCGGCGGATGGAAGGGGTCGAATACCTAAACCTAAACAAAGAGGGACCCTGGAAGGTGGTTTGGTGACTAGTGGGGCCCTACAGCGGCCTAGCCACGACGGCAGGCAGAACAGCGTCGTTCACGGCGTTGGCGCTGCTACTCCGGTAAGCTAGAGCGGCGGTAAGACAAACGGAGGCGTGGGAGCACCAGGAGCTTACCACGGTTCTAGCCAAGGTGATGGTTGGGGCCGAGGAAGGCGAAGCCACGTTGGCCATGTATCGAGGGCGGCGCGGCGGCGGCACTCGAGCACGCCCCCCCTCGTGTCAACACGTCACCGACAAAGCCTCCGGTGGAACTAGCGCGCGCGATGAGGACGAGGGGGCCAAGGCAGACTCATAGGAGCAAGTAATCAAATCGCTATCGAAGCATACCAGCTTACCCATGACCGAAAGTTTAAGGCACGGAGGCGAGGCGACCAATGGTGGGGAAAAACATGAAATTGGTCGGCAACGGAGCTTGGTTGTGGCTCGGGCGGGTGGCTCAAATAGACAACTCTATGGCGGAGCTATAAGTGCGACGAATCGAGCTCTAATGAACTGAGGCGCCGCAATTTTGAATCCTCTCGTGGGAGGGGACGTCAGCCTGTCAGTCCATGATGGCGGTGATGGCTTGCGTACTTAATCACGAGATTTTCCATCTGACGGCTACCACCCTGTTTGCTTGTCTTATGAGCCGTACTTTTTCAGACAATGAACAATATTTTTCTCTCACGACAAATCAGCCAACAGTACTTTCAACCATGGCTTATCAGCCAAGCGCACAGGGCATACATGTGTGAGGGCATATGACCTGCAGAGCAAATTTAACTTTCTCAGCTAGATCCATCTTTCTCCGCGTACCGACTGTCCTGGAACAACGATCATCCTATTTCCAAGTTCCAACCAGGAGAGGGATACAGCTAGCTATCTATGTCCTTCCAGATCCAGCGAAAGGAGACTACCAGTGGGACAAAGGAACTGTGCTCCCATCTCAAACAAGAAAGCAAGCAAGCAAGAAACAAATTGTGCTCCTATACAAGCGTAAGAGAAGGATGCAGGCCAATTAATTACGCGAAAGCGCACTGCTACATGTTCGACGGCATTTAATCCCAGCACATGCCACAGCACACCCTCGCCGCTGTTGACACACTGATATTTATCACATGACCACCCTCAGCACCGATGGTGTTCAGAGTAGCGTTCATAAATCACAACAGCAGCACCCTCAAAAAAAAAATCACAACAGCAGCACATGACAGTTCCTAGCACATTCACGGTGGAATTTCATTTCATTGCCCAGGCATCGGGTGTTAATAAGCAGAAAAAAAGGTTCTGAAACCCAAAGCGATTGAATACAAGCTCCCAGGCTCAAGATTGTTTCAGAGAGCAAACTCGAAATCAGAGGTCTCAATTGTCGATTTCAATTTCCTCTCGTCATGAAAGGAGGACTGCTTCTAAATTCTAATTTCTCAAGGCCGATTACTAGCAGACAGTACCGCCAAACCACTGAACCTACCTCCCAAGAAGCTTGGGAGGATACAGCTTCTAAAGATCAGATTACCGATGGGAGGAATTACCATAAGAGAGAGAATTTGATACTCGACGACACTGAGATTCAACTGAACCCCTCAGTATTCGCCTCATCGCCTTTTCTTTGTCTTCGCATTTGAAGCAGGGGCAGAGTTCTGCTCGGTAACCATCTTTATAAGATTCACAAGGGACCGCAACCTGTCCCACACGCTATAGCCATACAAAGTCTCCACAAGCAACTGCTGGAACTCAAATCCATGCTCTGAGACAGGATACTGCAAAAATGATAAGCAGCTAAATATCAGGTCCATAAGAACCAAGTAAAACCATGCAAATCAGACTATTTATTATATCGTGGGGATTGGGGAAGAAGTAGACCTGGATAGGTTTCGGGATCACTGTTTTAATATATGGCCATAATCTATCTTCTACAACAGACTTCACAAGACAGCAAGCTCATGAAGCCTTCTACACCAGCAAATCTCCCAAATCCACTGTCTTTAACACCACCGAATGGCAAAGACTGCAGCCAGAAACACAAGTAAGCATACTTGCATTGCCAGTGTAACACAAAATGTAAAAACAATATAAGCATGATGTGAATATTGCATTACTTAACATACAACGCTAGACACTACAGGATGCGTGAGCCTACTAGAGGAAAATTGCAAAAGATATAGCTTCTTATCATCAGCACCATGCTTCAATTCTGTAGATTCCTCCATTCCAAATTAGAAGACGCGTTTGCCTTTTCTAGATACATAACTTTTGCTATGCACTTAGATATACACCATGTCTAGATACATAGTTAAAGGATTGTATCTAGAAAAGTCAGTCTTATAATTTGGAATGGAGGGAGTACATAGGACAGACAGCATGAATTACACACTTACCTGACACATGTAACTTGAAGCAAAATCATTGATTGCTGCTACCCCACAGTGTATTTGGGATGCTATTCTGATGGCACGCTTCTGGTTGCCAGAAAAAACAGCACAACCAAGACCATACTTTGAGTCGTTTGCAAGTTTGATAGCCTCTTCATCAGAACCGAATTTCATGATTGGTAGAATCGGTCCAAATGCCTGTTGATCAGCAACTGACAATGTTAAGATTAACACTAGTATCACTTGTACTAAAGAAAATCAAAGATTGACTCCAGCTTACCTCTTCTTGCATAATTTTCATTGTGTGATCAACATTCACCAGGACAGTTGGAGGGAAAAATTGATCAACTGCGTCTTCCCCAAGATTACCAAAGCTCCCTCTGACGGCAATTTCGGCACCTTTGTCTAGAGCATCATTAACAAGACTCTGAAGTTTCTCAGAGTGCTCCATCATACAGATTGCACCCATGTCATATCTGCCTGATAATGGGGGGCCCTAGAAAAATAACAAAGGGGCAAAACATGAGTGCTATCGCAAAAGTATAAGTGTCAATAAAACAATTGAAAAAATAATTCAATCGGTATCTAAAGATGTTGCTGATAGACCTATGGGTTATCTGCTGAAACTGTTTAGGGTCGCCTATTAAATTAAGATAAGCTGCAACTAACAAATTTCATGTAAAACATGAAAAACAAAACAATATGGAATGAAGAGGTTAGAAATGTGAAAAGTATACCCATAGTCTCATGTGTTAATTCACATATTTGCATTTGTTTGTAAGACACTATGACATAGCAATAACAGATAATAATACAGAAATGACAGCACAAGGTTGTGATCCTGTAAAGCAGTACGACACTCAGAAGGTAAGGCAATAAATTGGCGCAAGGTAATTGGCTGCAAAATATGGCTGTTACTTACAACACATATAGATTTGACTATCTTCACTACTTGTGAAACAAAGGAAGAATAGATGTCGTTGTGAACATAAAATCTTTCAGCACCAGCGCAGTTCTGCCCACTAGATTGTAGAGCAGCTCTAACGGCAACTTGAACAACCTTCAAACAGGAAAAGACAACAGATTAGGTCCAGTACACTGCTAGGACTTGAAGAAAATATGATGTTCATGGCATAGGCAATATAAACTCCCTTACACTGGGTAAATCTACATCTTCACACACAATAAATGAATCTTTGCCACCAAGCTCAAGAGTTACAGGTATTAGAGTCTCTGATGCCCTTTTCATGATCTGTAATAACACATAAAACTGAAGACTTTAGAACAGAGAAATGATAGAGCCATAGACAGGAAAAACTGAATACAGCGTTATTCTTCCACCAGCAAGGGCGTGCAGACGAAAGGGAGAACAGGATGGCAATTGTCTGATGAATCTTGCTTCGTTGGAGATGGAGTTTTTTGGAAACTGTTCAACAGCCTGTGTGCTGATACTGCCAGCTGGGCATATGTAATAAAGGATAGTCAGGGTGCACTTGGTTAAACTCTCGGTTGGGCGGGTGCCGGTTTAAACTTCGGTTATCGTTAGTTGGTTTTGGTCACTAGTTTTGAGCCAGTTGGGTGTTCATTTCAATGCGGTCTTGCGTTAGGCCCGGTTTTTCTTTCTCTGTTTGAACAAACTATTGTAATTTCGTTGCTTTCGAGTAATGAAATTCAGCTATGCCATTGTGGAAAAGAAATTCTATTGTAATACTTGTACCTAAAATGGCAGAAAAATATATGCTAGCAGACAGTTTTTGGCAACATAATTCCTTTACAAAATAGATGCACATTGTGCTGCAGATATAATATCTAATATACATGTTTAGTCCTTAGGCCTGCCACTTTGTGGCAATTGGTCATGGTCTATCTGGGCAGCCAAGGAGGATAACTATGAGCAATCAGTTCACTTAGCAAGCACAAAAGGCATGTTCATAGGTTAGACAGAATCCACCAAACCATATACTGAAAAATAAGAATATTAATCGCATGAGCTTAAGCAAACACCAGAGGTATACCATTTTTCCAACACCAGGGGATCCCACAAATATTATTTTGTCCACTGATGATACAAGAGCTTGGCCTGTTTCCGCAAAACTAAAAACAAACAAGAAAAACAGAGTCCAGGTAAGCAATGTGCATCTAGCCTGTAAACTATAGAAAGCTGCATTCATCATACCCAGTTATTATGTGCACCAGATTCTCAGGAGCACCTACAGCTGAAAGAGCTGCTTGTATGATACGAAAATAAAAGCAGCCTGACCAACTCGCATATTCTGAGACCTATAAAAGGTCAATTTACCAATCAGAATAATCTTGAATAATGTCTAATGTACATCAGAAATCAGATGAAACATATTTTAGAGCACACCATAATGCCTATGCATGGCAGAAAGCTGTATATAACATATAAATACATTTAGCTTAGAAAAACAAGAAAAAAGTTAATGACACAATTGTACGCAGTGTTGCCACACTACATTCTTTCTTGAACAACTCAGGAGAGCTGTGTGTCATTTCATTATGGAGAGGAAAATAAGAGAGAGAGAGAGAGAGAGAGAGAGAGAGAGTCAATTCTATCAGAATTCAGTATAAATGAAAAGATCCATCCAATGAAAGCTTGGTAGAGAATGTTCTGCGTTTATTTGAGAAGGGTGCTTTCTATGAGCCAACATATGTTCAATACGCAATTTACTACTTTCTAGAAGATTATTTTAGGTTAATTCAACAAAAGGATAATTAGAGAATAGAGATACATCACATAAATCATAGCCCTCAGCATCAATGGCGGCACATAAAACAGGAGATATCAAGATTGCTGAATAACAAAAATTGATCTATGAGACCACGATGTGTACATGAAAATGGTTTGTTAAAGAACAGACTAGACAATGTAATTTCAGGGATTTAGACTTTATAGTATTTATAATTAGAAAAAAAATAGGCTCCAGAGCTAGGGCCAAGCACCAGTCAACGAGTCAAGGTAATAGACTATTAACAAATAAACAATGTGCAAAGAATAAAAAGCCTCATTCTGGAGATAGATAATGATGCTACCTTTATAACTGCTGCATTACCGGAGAATACTGCGGCCAGCATTGGATTAAAAACATTATGGAAGGGATAATTCCAAGATACAATGGCACCAATCACTCCAAGAGGGTAAAACTCAACTTTTGCTCTCTTATGCAGCATTGATCTCCCAGTAGATCTGAGCAACAGAAAAAGCAAGCATCCCAACAATTTATTTAATCGGAGGCACATAATAAGAAAAGAAACCACTACTTTTACTTTGTAAAAAAAAACATCATGTTAAGTAACAATACTACGGGGGCATCAAGAAAGGAATACAAAGTTCTAGGCAAGACCGCAAGAGTGAGCAGAAGTTGCAGAGTACCAACTATCCCAGATTTTATCATGTAGGCCCATTACCTTAAGTACCAAACTTTATTTTGCCTTAAGGTGTTCAATTCCCAGTGTCACCCATACAAGCAGTTATTCACCTCTACCAGCAAGGATACAAGGTCCTAAGTTACTTTTCCATCATGTAAGAATAATTTTGAGGATTCTAACCTGTATTCAGGTTTCAACCACTTCTCACCCTCGTCCAAAAGCCAGGTAATCTTCTCACATGTGGTCATTATCTCGCCTAACGAAGCATCAACCATAGTCTTTCCAGTGTCCCGAGACGATACTCTACACAGCATAAACAGATTTGAGTTCATTTCTCCAGATGTCAAGACGTGTGAAGAAGTTTGACAGAAGTTGGGACCTTACTCGCATATGAGATCCTGATGTTCAAGAATATACTTGAGAAGGATTCGAAGAAACTGGCGCCTTTGCTTGAAGCTGCTTTTTGCCCATATCTTTTGAGCTTTCCTGGCTTGTGCAACATGTTCGTTGACCTGATTACCCAGAGAATTGGCCACAATCAAACCCAAATAAAGAAACGTTAATGAAGTTCGACATACTGAAAGAATACTGCATCTGTTCCTCAACTATTCGCCGGTTAAATCAACAAGGGGTGCACCAACCCTCTAGATAATAGACAGAGGCGGAAATGACAATGCATGACTAGAGGGACCTTAACTAAAAAATCAAGGCAGCAACATACCTCATCAGGAGTCAACGCAGGGAAGTACCCCAAGTATTTCATGGTCGCTGGTTCATAGCATTGGACCTTGTCAGTCTGAGCTGCTTTACCCTTTCTCGGTATCTGCAGCAGTGGACAAAGTTAGAATGGATGATACATTCTGGCAATTGATAAGCGCAATGAGCTGAAAACAAATTGCCATTCTGAGGACAGCTATTGTCATGGCCACAACAGGACATTTCAAACAAATGTCAGTGATTCAGCATCAGGTGGAAGCAAATCACTGCTACACTTGCAGAGAAAGCCATGCCTAGCCCTTTCTGAAACCTATATGAGTGCAGATAAGACTCAAAGTTACCGCAGGCAGGTACCGTCCTCTTATCTTACATACAGTGCTGATTGCTGAACCACTTTGAGGCTAAGATCTAAACCGCATTAATGATGGAAGTTTAAACTACACTAATGTATTACATGAGTTACTTGTTGAAAGCAGATTAACCGGATGCAGCGGTGGTAGTACAACAGAATCACAATAGAATGGAACATTGCTTTGCTTCCCAGGCTACCTCAACTCAAATCAAGAGCAACTAAGTGGACAGGCGCAGAGGGGCAGGGACTTACGTAGATGAAGCTGTCCTCCTTGGCCAACACTGCGCCAAATCAGAAACACACGGAATCAATAAACCCTCACAAAGCCCTGCCCAGACTTGTAGAATCCGAAAGAATAACAACGGCAGAAGTAGTATAGTAATGAGACGAAAACGGGAGAGGGGGCAGTACCGTCGGAAGCGTCGACGTCGATGGATGGGACGGTGGGCGGGATGAGGAGGAGGAGCAGGCGGCAGAGCGCGTATGCGGCGGCGAGCACCAGCAGCGGCCACCAGAAGGCCATGGGCGAGCCGGCGCGTGGCGACGCCTCCCTGTCTAGGGTTCGCGGCGAGCGGCGAGCGAGGAAGCCTGCGGTTGCTAGGGACGGCGATGGCGGGATTGCATCTGATCAGAGAAGAAGCGAACAAAAAATGAGGAATCCAATCGGACCGGATCGGAATTCGGAAGGGCTGTACACTACCACCACTAGACTAGTACTTTATTCGATTCCGGGAGTGTGGAGTGGAGTGGAGTGGAGTGAATGGGAGAGGAGGGAGGAGGGAGCGGAGAGGCGTCTGACCCGGCCGCCGCCCGTTCCCTTCCGGTCCGCCGGCGGTCCCCTTTTCTCAATTTTCTATACTAGTCGCTCTATATTGAAGGCAAGTATTTTTCAGCAAACTAACTGGGTGTTTTCTCTCATAAAAAATCAACAATCGAAAAATTTCAACGAAACAAGCAAGGCCACTACTACTTTCTACAATTATTTTCTTTTTATTACACGATTGTACCTATCGAGGACCAATACTAGAATATCTAAAGAGAAGGAGCTAATAGTCATCAACATTGATTCATCCGAGCAGTCAAGAGCGCAACTACAAGCTCCAACCGACCCCAGGTGCGCGGGCTCCGCCTCGCCCGCCCTCTGTTGGTGGGATCCGCCTCGCCCGATCTCGAGACCGCGATCTCCGTCTCGCCCCTTTGGGTTCGTGCTTGGTCTCGTCCGACGGAGACCCATATCGTCGCCAACCATTTCAGGTCCAAGCGTATGGGTCTGGGTCAAAACTCTGACACCGGAGAAGAGATTGGCATGCCTCGATGTAACGCGTGGCCATGACGAGCCATACCTGAGGGTTCATATAAAAAGCGGCGTTAGGCGTCTGGGTCTGCTCGCAGCAACCCCTAGCATCTAACGATGACAAAGCGTGTCGATTCACCACGACGTCCGTCGGAACAGGATGGAACGTCATGACTGACAGACGATGCCCGCGCATAGCGCTAGTGACGGATAGGCCGCAACATGGAGTTGTCCATGTTGACATCTACAGAATCTGTGGGACCAGCATGAATGAGAAGAAGGACCCGACGATTCTGGAAGCTTTCCTCTCTCTCGTTCTTCTCCTTTTTCTTCGTTGTAACCCGCGCTTTTCCTTGACCTATAAAAGAAAAAGCGGGGCGCCCATGAAAAGGATCAACCCATAGAGACTCGATCAGAGCTAGATCCGCACAAGTGCACGACGCGAACGCACAGCTGAGCGGCTATCGAGCTCTCGGCACCCACTCACTCCTTCCACTAGAGACTTAGGATCATTTTCCTCTCTCGTCCATTTGTAGCCCCTACTATAAACTTTCAGTGCTAATAACACGAGCAGAAGTGACGAACTAGACATAGGGATTTTCTGCCCGAACCAGTATCCTCTAAGCACACCATCCGAGCCAGACGCGCAATACTAGAAATTTACTCGTCGGTGGCAACTCGAAATACCGACAGTTGGCGCGCCAGGTAGGGGCCTTTTGTGTGTCTCGACGTCCACACGGATCTCGGATGGCTAGCACGGTGTCGACTAGGTCCTGAAGCTCCACGTGTGCTTTAGGAACTGGACTTTATCGTCTCAACGGAGAGAGAGTTGGCACATGCTCCTGCCGCCGCCCAACCTCTCCACTCTGTCGACCTCAACGCGATCGTCGAGGCGCTTGAGGAGTCTGCAACAAGACACACACCAAGGCCTGCGCCCCTGTGGGTGACCAGGCTCCTCGGCTTTGACTACGGAGGTTAGGCGCCACTCGGCGCCTTCTGGGACCCCGACCGTCCCGAGAGGACTGGGCCGCCTCACCTTCTTGTTCGTCAACGTCATGACATAGCTTGCCAAGGAGAGCCGCTCTCCCTGAATACCTCATCCGAGCGCCTCGACAAATAGCCTCAGTTCGATCTAAGAACGCCCACAGAAACCGGCCGCCACCTTGTGGCGCAGTGCATGCCCCATCCCTTACGGACGGCGAAGTTCGTGGGGATAACCGAATATGTCACGGAATCTTTCCACGACCTCCTTGCAGGGAGAATCGAAGTTGCCCTCCACTCGACTCTAGCGGGGGAGCCATCGCCTCTCTCGTGAATGTTTCATGGCGGTACCCCGAGGGACACGTTGAAAGCATCCACGAGAGAGAGGCTACCCCAACGAATGACTTCAACGATGAGGTCGAGAGGGATCTGAGGGCCCACCTCACTTGCAAGTGGAGCGGTGAAGGCCCGGCACCAAGAGCTCGGGGAAGCATGACTCACTTTCGGCAAATGCATGGAGCTCGAGCGAGAGATCGAGCACCACGGAGACGGTGGGCGTGCACGCGCCGTGGCCCGCGACGTGAATTGGAGAATCATCGAGAACGATGAAGCCTCCCACACTTCATCCGAAAGAGCCGAACATCGTCGCTGCGCGTGGCCTTGCTCTGGGGCTTCCGGGTCTCTGACGCCCGAGGATCGTCAGGCCCATCGCGAGATTCGCACGCTACTCGAGCGTGCAGTGGCACAGCAGGTCGAGAGCTCGCTGTCTCGATGACGCGAGCTCGACGGCAGCCAACGCACGCCCTCAGAGCGACCAGGCGTAGCAAGGCGGCAGGCCACACACTGTGGTCCCGGTGCATGAGCGTCTCAGCCTCCACCAGACGCACGCGACACCCTCGACGCCCGCAGGCGTACCCGCTGCGATACGAGGGAGGGGGCTAGCCACGGCTACCACCCACGTCGTGGCAGACGCTACGACAGCGACGACGACCAAAGCCCGAGCCCTGACTTGCTAGGATCTCAGGCCTTCGGCCGACACATCCTCAACACCGTCTTCCCACCACGGTACCGACCACCGACCAACATCCCAAAATACTCTGGGGAAACGAACCCCGGACTGTGGCTCAAAGATTATCAGCTTGCTTGCCAAGCCGGTGGAGCAGATAATGACGATTTCATTATCCGCAACCTTCTGTTGTTCCTGACTGATTCAGCGCGAACGTGGTTGGAACACCTTCCGCCCAACCAAATCCAAAGATGGGCGGACCTAAAAGAGATCTTCGTGGGAAACTTCTAGGGCACATACGCGCGTCCTGGGAACCCATGGGATCTAAAAACTGCCAATAGAAGGTCGGGGAAACTCTTCTCTCGGTAGTGCAATGAGCTGCCCAACGTCACCGACGCCGACGTTATAGGAGCCTTCCTGTCTAGGACCACCTGTGAGTCCCTGGTTCACAAGCTAGGACGTAAGGGCCCGTGAACCACTAAGGAGCTCCTCAACATCGCCACCAGCCACGCCTCGGGCAAGGAGGCGGTCGGGGTGATTTTCGACCGAGACAAGGTGAAGTGGGACAAGGACGCCGGCAAATGCGCCTCCAACCGTCCCAGCAAGAAGAAGAATAAGCAGCGGCGCGAGAGCTTGCTCGTGGCCACCGCCGACCGCATGGGGGTCAGAAGCCCATCGAGGGCACCCCAAACCACTTCAAGAAGTTGCTCAAAGGACCATGTCCGAACCATGCTTTCTCCGTTAAGCACCTATACAAGGACCGTGTCCTCATAAAACAGATTCTTATCTGGAGGCTCCAACAAGGGGGCATAGGGGACCCCAAGTCGGCCGCAGACGCGGCCAAAGGGAAGGACGATGAATTTCCGATCTTTGGATGGCTGCCTCATGATCTTTGGAGAGTCGCAGCCCTATGACCCCAAGCGCCATCATAAGCTCATGGCGCCCATGAGGTCTATATATGCCAAGCCGGTCGCACCTACTTTCCTCCGATGGTCGAAGTCCGCCATAACCTTTGATCGCACCGACCACCCGGCGCGCCCCACAGGGGGATGATATTCGCTCATGGTCGACCTAATCATCGGCACGAAGCGGCTCACAAAGGTACTAATAGATGGTGGCAGTGGCCTCAACATCATGTATGATGAAATGCTCGACGCCATGGGCGTCGATCGATCGCGCGTCCGACCGACTAGAGCGCCTTTCCATGGCATCATGCTTAGAAAGCAGGTCGTGCCACTTGGGTAGATCGATCTGCCCATCACCTTTGGGGATCCGACCAATTCTCGGATCGGAGACCCTTACCTTCAGTGGTTGGGTTCCATGGAAACTACCATGCCATCCTAGGACATCCATGCTACGTGAAGTTCATGGTCGTCCCTATCTACACCTACCTAAAGTTGAAGATGCTAGGTCCATGCAGGGTCATCACCATCGGCGCCTCCTTTCAGCGCGCCTACAAGTGCGAGGCAATGCTACTAACATGCCACGGCAATTATCGCCTCCAAGGAGCTTGCGGCCATCGTGGAAGGAGGTCATCAAGAAGCGTCCCGACCCCAAGCGGTTGCCTAGGTCTTTCGCTTTTGTAGAGAAGGCACCAAAGAGGTCCTCATAGACCCCAGCGTCTCTGAAGGCAAAGTGGTGCGCATTGGCACCATGCTTTCCTCCAAATAGGAAAGTGCGCTTGCGTCGACTTCCTCCATGCCAACAAAGACATCTTTGCATGGAGACCCTCGAACATGTCGTGCATTCTAAGAAAAGTCACCGAGCATGCCTTGAAGATTAGGCTAGGCTCCAAGCCGGTGAAGCGATGCCTTCACGCCGCCTCGATGAGGAGAAACGAGGGGCCATCGGCTGGGAGATTGCGAAGCTTTTGGTGGCTAGGTTCATCAAGGAAGTATACCCCCTAAGTGGTTAGCCAATCCCGTTCTTGTCTGAAAAGAAGAGTGGGAAATGGAGAATGTATGTTGACTACACGGTCTCAACAAAGCGTATCCAAAGGATCCGCTTCCTTTGCCATGCATAGACCAAGTAGTTGACTCGACCTTAGGGTGCTAAACCCTTTGCTTCCTTGATGCGTACTGGGTATCATCAAATCGTGATGAAAAAAGTCCGACCAAATTTCACGACATCTTTCATCACCCCATTCAGATCGTTCTGCTATGTCACAATGTCGTTCGATCTAAAAAACACGGGGGCTACGTACTAGCGTTGTATGCTCAAGTATTTTGGGGACCTCATCGGG